AAAAACACTAAATCTACTATTCAAAAGTGGGGATATGTATTTATTTATTTCCACTTCTACTTTTTTACTGGTAAAACTAACAATAAGGTACCCACAGACAAGGCACAGCCATGAAATAAAGTGAAAGGAAAATCAATTCTCATGCTACCTGCATTTCTCATTTAAACAGGGTGGCGATGTTGTTGTTAATGTTCTCTGTGGTACGTCAGGTTTTCCTTTTTGCTCCCTGCATTGATTTAGCAAGTAAGAATGAAATGACTTATCCCTGTAAATATGAACTGCTGGACTTTTAATCTTTCAACCAGAACGTGTCAGGGATCATTCAAACTATTTTCAAGAGGATCATCTCTGTCAGGGAAAATACAACAGAAGTTCGTAAATACAGAGTAGGATGAACAAGGAACATTAAGAGGGGGAGAAAGAGAGGGAAGGGAGACGTTAACTCGTCTTTCTGTATTCCAAAAAAAATGATGAAGAAAGAAGTACTTACAGAGTCTTGTCAGGCTCACTTGTTGTACACAGATCTGATAGATGCAGCTTAGGGACTCAGTCTTGTCCATCATCTGGTCTGCTGACAGATGTAGACACGCACATTCACACTTAGGCATATACAGTGCAATGTAAACCTGACTCAAAGATTGTAGGACTATGTTGTTGCTCTTGAGGCTTTTCTCTGTTATCTAGATGAGCATGTATGTTGTAGTTATTTTACAGTACATTACACATAACTACAATTTTGTAAGACAACTGTAATGGCATTTTCATACCTGCTTCATATTTTCCATAAAGTGTGCACTGTCATTCATCATATGATGAACAAATTTTCTTCTGTTGCACTACTAGTGCCTGATATGTTTCTGTATTAAGGTGTTCAGAAACGCTGTTTGTGAGATTATAAAAATGGAAATTCAATTATTTGGACCATGCAAAATGTGATTCTCTAATGGACAATGAAATTTGCATGTTTAGACATTGTAGAATTAGCTGAATTTAATGTAAACTGTCATTATACCTCTTCTTGAGACGAAATTCTTTGTCCGTCCTTCTCCTCAAGAACACAATCTGAATTAAGGACTATTTCTTAACATAAGGATGCTAAATAATTCTTGTAAATTGTGTTTTTTAATAAGATATTAATTACATTGTGCAACATTGACAGCTTGGGTGAGGTAGAATTGACATATATGAGAGATGAAGTACACTTATTTGTGCACACTTATGTGATTTGCCTGCTCCATGTTGATGGGGCACTACAGTGTCTCTGTGGACCTAATGTTCACTCACTGACCTAAAGATGATCCTCCTTTTCTTCCTCTTTAATGTAGGTACATCAGGCACAGCAATGCATGGATCACGATGCTTTAACTGCACCATATTAAACTCATACTCATAGAGACAGATATGCATGTAGACTTGTGCACAAGCTTTTATGTCCTTCCGTTATTGTGCAGAATTTCTGTAGCTTAATTTATTATTTTAATATATGCTCTCATTATATTTTTTTCTTTGTTTTGTTTCATTATCCTTCTTGTAGTAGGTATTATGTAGTTTTATTTTATTTTTTTTCTCCCTCCCCAGTCATTTTCCTTTTTCTCTATCTTATTCATCTCTCTATTCTTGAAGTCATGTCTGGTGGCCATGCTCAATTAAGTAAAATAAAAATAAATGAATACATAAACAAATAAATAAAAATTTCAGCAGGATAAGTATTTTCAAATACCAATTTGGGAGGCAAAATATTTCAATGTGAAAGCTTGCAGTGAATCTTCATTGAATGCTTATGTTGCTAGACAATTCATGTAAAAAAAAAAAAAAAAAACATAAACACTATACTGATGTACTTCACAAATAAAAAAGTTTTGCTGAAATGAAGACTATCTTAATTCAAAAAGGCTGCACATTTCCGCCACCAGAAGATTCAATTGTTACAACAGCAGCTTACTGCTGTTGAGTAGTTGGAACTTTGTAACTTAAAGAGTTTTCTTCCAGCCAACTAGAGAAAAAACTTTACAAAATGATTACCAATCAAAACCTGAAGAAGGAATTGAAGAAAAGGTGAGATATGCTAAGAAAAGAAAGTTGCCATGTAGAAGAAAAAAAAAAAAAAAACGCAGAAAAAATTATAAAATAAAGAAGGTAGAAAGAAGAAAATACTAATTAGAATCATTTGGACATACAGGACATAATTAAGAACCATTTCTTGATTGCAAAAGCAGAGTATAGGGAATTATACCTAGGAAGGATGAAACAGTAGCAAATGTTATATTGCAATGTCTAAAATATGAACATAAACTAAATAAATACATGGACATTTAATATAAAAGACACGTTGCAAAGAACTGGAGCAAACATACAAATTATTAATTCATATACAAACACAAAAACTGATAAGAAATCTGATTTTGTGTTTAGCTACACATATACATACATTTGATATGCAAAATCAAGATGATCATGTTAAATTGTTGACATTATTCAAACGTGTATACGAGGTTATTTTTACAACCAAATTATGACACAAAAAGATATTTTAATAAATTTAAATCGCCTTATTTTTTACATTTTGTTTTATTCTTTTTTAAGTTGTTCATAAATTATAAATTATTCCATAAAAGTTCAAGTTTGAAGGCGTTTAATTTCCCATCTAGGAAACTTTTTCAATACCTGGATGGGAAGCGAAACGTCCTCAAACTTGGAAAACAAAGTGCAGTGGATTTTTTTTTTACTTTTTGAATGACTATGACCTGGATCTTTACCAGCAAACTGGAAATTACATACACAAATACTATATATTATAATACTAATGTTAAATAAAACTAAATATTATGTACATATGAATTTAAGCAAATGTATAATTTAGATATGCAATTTAAAATAAATATTTTAGAAATAAAAGACTACCTTGCCATCTAGTAGTTCATGTCATCATGCAGCAGGTCTGCTATGAAAAAGATTTTTTTTTCTTCCTCCTATTTTCTTCCTGTAATTATATCATTCGTAATGCTTTGTACCTAGGGAAAATAGACAAAGGTACAAAAAAGATAGCAGGATAAAGAATATTAAAGGGTGAGAAGGCAAAATGAAAGAGAATTCAAGAGATAGAGATATACATCTCAGTACAATCCCAAAGAAGTTTGTGGAAATTCTCCAACATTCAGCTGTTTAATTATAGAAAGGTTCTTAAAAGGAGCATTTGCTGTTTCATACTGCACCACCAGGAAGAAAAAGACACTATCACTTCTTTTTTGCATATATTTTACAACCAAATTATGACACAAAAAAAATACTTTAGTAAATTTAAATCGCCTTTGGAAATTCAGGGGATTTACGCATCTTCTGTGGAAAAACAATGACATATGTAATTCATGTAAAACCCTGTTTAAGATTCAGATCTCATTTGGAAGAAGGACCGCAGCAGAAAATGTGCACCTGGAGGAAAGATGTACGGATTGACAAATTAACCCATCAACCGATTAATGCTGATGTATTGTGTTGTCCATCCCAATTGTGTCATTTGGGTCTCTTTAATTTTTTTTTATTACAACTACCATTATTTTACAGACTGAAATATAGGGTTATTATTTCTGTAAAAACTAAACTACATTTATTACTTAGGAACTTTTACAAATGCATTTTCTGAATGTTGGGATCAGAGGAGTCAGATTTTACGCAAATTTATCATTTTACACAATATATATTTTAAAAAGAACTGTCTCCACTGTAGTGAGCATAAAATAACTGGCAAAAATGTTCTTTAAATTTTGGTTTGGATAATAAAAAATTAGCTGTTCAAGCTTCTAAGAAAAGAAAGCGGCCAGAGAGGGGATAGAAACATTTGAGGTAAAAACAACTTGCATTGTAACTGCAATTGTTTTGTATTTGAGCTTATGCGAAAAGTATGGAGTGTGTTTCTTTGTATTTGGTTGGAAACATGTTAATAAACTTAGGCTCTTGGTAAGGTAATGACTAAGATAAATCAAAATGGAACAATTTAGAAAGAATAACCAAATAGAGGTGAATCAGTAAATTGAGATACGAACAAGATACTGAGACAGAGGATGGAGGAGGGGCAAATGCCGTGATTAAGGGAGGCATATAGATAAAGAAGAAAAACACTGAGGGATAAAAAGAACCTTAGAGAGGTGAATGTGAAGAAAAAGAAGAGGAAATGATGAAAGGGGAGCCTTAGTAAGGAAAATAAAGTAGTAGTATTAACAGGGGAATCATGTAAAAAGGACAACTGGAATAGGAAAAGGGAAAAGAGAGTTGAGTAGTAGCGGTTTGAGGATAAAAATCATCCAGGTTACTTTGGTGGGTTTTAAAGGAAAAGATGAAATAAGGATGAATGGAAAGAAGAAAGAGAAGGAAATTATGTAGTGACTGACAAAAAGAAATAAGGTTGTCAAAAAGGCTAGTGGAATGAGGGAATAATTACAGATGAAGACAGGAAAATAATAATACAAAAAAAGTAAAAGCAGATTGATGAAACCTTTTTAAAAAGCCCTGATTATATTAGGAGGAACTACGCTATACTAATACTAACCGAAAACAGCGAACTATATATATTGTTAACTCTAATATTAAGGAATAAACTACTGTCTAATACAGCATACCCTGTTTCATTTTGTTAGCAGGCATTATTCTGAAAAAAAAAAAAAAATACTTTCATAAAAGCATCTGCTGTCACTCCATTGTCTTCTTTCTGTCACACCTTTTCCCACCAAAGAACATCGTGGGAGGCATATCCGTGTTGTGAGAATCAATTTTAAAAGACATTTTATACCAAGAAGGTCTGGCACGTATCAGAGATCAAAGAAAATCAAAGTGAAAATCAGGGCAGGGAAACTCCAAGCAAAGCAGATAGAATTTTTAACCAATCCCACTGTCATAGTAATAACGCCTCTCCTTTGTTTTTTAATGTGCTTATGTGAACTTTGGATTAACCTTACTCTTTGTTTCCTCCCCCACTTTGTGTCTTTTTCTTTTCTTTCTCTCTGTAGGGTGTGGTTCCAGTCAGGCATCAACTTCCTCGCTGTGAAACCCAGCAACCTCGTTGCGTGGGAGATCAAACAGGAAATGGCACCGGGAAGCAGTTCGTTGGCAGTGATTTGTCAGAGAAAGGCCTCCTCCACAGCTGAGAGGTAGAACTGAGCCATTTTTTTTTAACACCCCCCTGTCATCCAGCTGCTGCTTTGCCCGTCGCTTAAAAAGCATTTGTGGGTGCAGAAAATGCCTCAATGCACTCTTTGATTAATCTACTTACAGTAGATAGCACGAGAGTCATAGCAGTCTGTATTTAAACAAAACAAAACACAGGTATTTAATGGGGATGGACTATTTCAAATAAACACTGACCAATAATAAATACACACAGATAATGATATGCAGGAAATGCACAGAGATTTCGTTCTAAAGTCGAACAGTACCCTGAAAGTCAGCTGTAATAGGGAGCCTGTTTTTGAAACTAATACAAGCATTTATCAACATTTATACAGTATATGCATTCCATTCAGTAGCACTAAAAATACAATTTTGATGTTGCAACAATTATATTTTGTTGAGAATATGGTTTTAATTAGGACACTAATGTTTTTCTGAAATTCTTCAACTTTTAACTGAAAATTAAACAGATCAGAGGCTATATGATTGTTAAGGAAGACATTTGTAAGCCATTTCTGAAATCATAATTTACAATAATTCAGTATTTTTAATTATACTCTAAATGTTTCCTGAGTGCCTAATTGTTCATATACTTCAGCTTTGTCTATCAGCTCTGCTTTTCAGTGTGCTTTATTTTACATATTTTTTTTTACACATTTAACACTGTAGCATATCTGTGTTTGTGCTGAGTTATTCAAGGCAGCCACATCCATCTTCATGGGCATTAAGATTCACTCTCCTTTGTATGCTGAACGCTTGAACTAAAGATATGGGAAAAACAAAACAAAAACTAAAAATCTCCAAGCTGTCTAAAAGTTTATATAAAAATGGATTATAATGATATATTTTTAGGATTTTAAGTAGTGATGTGTATTACTTCAAATGTTTTTTTTTAGGTTTGACTTTTTTCTATTTTCCAGCCATACCGTTCATAGCAAATATCAAGGCCAGGTAAAAAAAAACAAAAAAAACAAACAAAAACAAAGTACATTTGAAAAAACCATAAAGACAGAATTTACTTATCCATATTATTAAAAAAGCTTTTATAAATACGAGGCATTGTGGATATTATCTCAAAAAGGTACTGCTGCTTAGCCAGGTTTTTGTTGTTTAGATTTACCATTGTCTGGTAACCAATGAAACTCACCATATAACCTGGAATCTTCAAGATTTATTTTCTGATTAAAGGAAAAGTCCGGTCAGCAAGGAATAATCAATGGATCATTATATATAACTAAAATGAATATGTTTGCAGTAATTTAATGAATTTAGCATTAATCAGTAAAAAAAACTCGATCACTGAGTTGGGACCATCCATTTTTGCCCAAATATAGTAACACGGTGTGGTAAGCCTAGCGCCATTCTCCCCGCTTTACAAACAAATCAATGGGAACTACAAGACACATCTGCCATCAACAACAATTATTTAAGATTTTGAGAGCACTTCACCACTGAAATTCGCAAGAGCTATACTTAAACTGAAAATGCCCACGTGCATGGTAGTTGGATGTTGTAATACATCGCGTAAAAATGAAAAAAAAAAAAAACCCTGTTATTTCACTTTTCCGATTTATGATCCTCCACGGACGGGTTCGTTGTTGTATTGCCAACTTGAAGAGGGAGGATTTGCCATTGAACTTCTGGCCTGAGAAAAAACACATTATATGAAGTGAATATTTCCAAGAAGAATGTTTTTGATTTGATTTGGATAATAGCGCATTGTGACAAACTTTCAGAAGTTTGAAGCTGAATATGGCTGGACTTTTCCTTAAAATTAGCAAACTTGCATGTTATGTTCAAATAAAAAATTGGTTGGTCTGGGATAATTTGAAACACTAAACAAGATAATTTGTGCTAAACTTTGTTATCTAAGTTACAGGATTTTTTTTACATTGTTATTCTAGTACACATTTGCATGTTTGTGCAAATTCACAATGTTTGGACTCGGGTCCAAGTTCAAGGAGTTAAATTCAGGAAAAAGAAAGTGAAAGAGATAAAGCTGAATTAAGGGCAGCTCCAGTTCAGCAGTAGAAGAGCTGTAGGGTAGAAGCTGTTGCTGAGCCTGGTGGTCTTGCTCTGAATTCCCTGGTAAGAAGCTGAAACAATCTGTGTGCAGGATGGGTGGGGGCCTTTATAATGTGGAGGACACTTCCCTTGCATCTCAAAGTGAAGATGTTGAGGTGGAGGGAAGGCTGCTCCCTACAAGCCTCTGTGTAGCCTTAACCACCCTCTCCAGAGAAGCAGATGTAAGAAGATTCTTGTCCCTTTTGAAATCCACCAACATATCCTTCGTCTTCTTCGCATTGATGCAGAGGTTATTGTCTCTGCATCAGCTGTTTAACCTCTTCTCTGTATTTGGATTCATCATTGCTTGTGATGCGTCCCACTACTGCTTTGTCATCTGCAAACTTCACTCTACATTACACTACCCATGCAGAGGATGGTCTGAGCACAGTAACTGGGATAACTGTTGAGTATAAATGGAACGCAACTGAAATGGACCATGCCAGACACAACAAACCACGCTAAATCTAGCACTAGTTCAACAGTAGGGCTCAACACGGTTCAGTTGTGGCTTTAAATTTGAGCGGAGGATCCAGGCACAGAAGTTCCTTAATGTAATGGGCGCTGCCATTTTTGATTGCGTAATTCCTGCCTTGAGAGCTGTAGTATCGTGAACTGCCAATAGGAGGGGAGGAACAGTGCTAGCGTGATATGTAAATGGTTGTAAGAGCCAAGATTGGCACGGTTCACTGATCCAAGCTCGGTCCGAACTCGGCACGGATCGGTTTCAGAGGGCTAGTGTAAATGGGACATATGCTGTGGTATCCTACAATCATATGTCATCAAAATAAACAGGATGGGGCACAGCATGCACCCCTGGGGCAAGCCAGTGTGGGTGATGAGGGAGGAGACAGTGTTGTAAATCCTGACCATCCTTGGTCAGGAAGCCCAGGAACCAGTTCCCCCGTGTGGGACTCAGCCCAAGAGAGGAGTGCTTCTGCCCCATGTCTGAGGGAGGATTGAGTTGAAGACTGAGGAGAAATCAAGGAAGAAAAAAACTGATGTAGGAGTGTCTGCTCTCCTGTAGGATGGGGGCTGTGTTGACCAAAAATTGGATACTGATATTGATGTGGGTCTAAACTTATGTTGTTGGAGTTCTTGATCTGGGTCATGACTATCCTCTCAAAGCTGTTCATAACTACCAAATTAATGTTATACATTTACAGTAGCAGCCATTCAAAATGGCCCTTCCCAGTAAGACGCCAGCCGAATGTCAGCCCACTTCCATCCAACTCCCAGCGAAATCCTCTCCAACTTCCAGCCACTGGAATGACCCCCTCTTGCATATTTTCTTTACTCGGACTCCACCCTTTCTCTGAATTACAAGAGATGACACTTCTCTTTAGATCTTCATGTCCACAAAACATGACAGAAAGAAGATTTTAGTTCAAATATTTGAACTGAACTGTAGGGGACAAGCCAAGGACTAGCCAAGGGCCTATGAAGGAAATATTTTTGAATGGACTCTACTGTAGATAGATGCTTCTCATTTCCTTTTTCTACTCTTCTATTTCCACATATATTATCTAATCTAATTGCTTTAAAACTGTAAGAATGATGACTTTCTTTTACATGAAGCGATTAGAACAACACTCCTGTTCAATTGGCATCACTCAGTTAAACATTAGCCATGTCTATCCTTTAAGCGATCTAAAGAGGTATTTAAAAAACAGCAGAAAGACTTTAAACAGGTTCAAAAACCAATCAGGTAAGAATATTATAACACTGATAAGGGAAGTAAATGACTGATTATTATCTTTTCATATGGCAGATTAAACACATAAGTGAACATCATGTGTTTAATCTGATGTGTTAGAAGCAAGAAAATTAAGCAAATATAACTATTTCAGTGACATTTAAAATGGTCTAGCTTTATTAAAGGAAAGTAGTTTACTATTTGTGGATAACTTAGCATGTGAAAAACTTCTTGCATCTGGAATGAATATCTTGTAGGTGGAAAGTGAAAGGATAATCTGTATTTTTTATCCCTTAGACAAGCTGTTGTAGAGCGAATTGCTAAAGAATTTAGGGCTGAAAGCCTTATTTGTATTTTATTTATTTGAATAGGGACAATGCACATTAATGAACATCAGTATAAAAACAAATGTAAATATGCCGGATTATAGCTACAAAGCTAGTTTTCATCCGTAAGCGAATCTGCTAAGGCTAGCAGGGTTTCTACACAGACCTCTGTCAATCACTAAAAGAAATTAAAATACTCTTGTCAAAATCGGACCCAAGGTGCATGGCATTCCAAGGAAAATATGGCATTGGGATGCACAGTGTGATAAAGTCAATCTGGGAAAAGCAGAATGATATTTTAGGGATTTCTTTTTTTAAGCTTCAGCCCTGCTATTCATGTGAATGGTATTGTGATATCTACCACTTAATCTACCCCAGTTCCAGACAAAGCTGTAATCCCTGATGGATACAGCCCCTTTTAGAAACATGATGCTCCCTGCCTCAAGATAAAGATAGGTCAATAATAATTGCAGTGGTACAACAATAAGTGTGAGGTTTTGATTCACCTGAACTCAGATTTGATTTGAGTGACAGATAACTTTGTAGACCTACTGCTTACCTCTTTTGAGATACAATAGAGGACCTTTATAAGTTCTAAAAAAGTTAAAAAACAAACCACTGGATTTTGTCTCCAAGTTTGAAGACGTTTCTCTTCCCACCCAGGAAGTGTTTTCAATTCGAGATGTCAGAAATAGCATTAAGTTCGAGGCTTTATACAGTGAGCCAAAAACAAAGCCTTGTTTTGGCTAAGAAAACATGCACATTGAACAGGTCCGCCTCTTTTGAATGGAAGTCGTTTGGGTTCTTTGTTAGCCTGCAATACCTGATACCTGTCTATGTCTTTGAAAGGGGGGTCGTTAGAGGGAATTTTGGACATGGCTGAACACGTGAGATG